GTTGGAATTACTTCAGATGTGACAGTAATATTTATCAGCTATATGAAGTCTATTTCCTGGTTTCCTTCAAGTCTGGTCATCGAATCTTGTTTGGTCAGCGGTGGTGTCCGTGGATCTGTGTTCGGACGGGGAAGCGGGAGTCTAACAGAAATACCCAAGTGCAGTCGGGGTCCGGTTCCGCTACAAGCACCCCTTGATTGAACAAGCAATTGACTATTGCAGTGGAGGGGGTGGGTGGGCACTGGAAGAGTATTTTTTTTCTAATTCTTGGATGTGGGCTTGAATGTTATGTGCAGGACCCCTTGGTGATGCCAAGAGCCACAGTTGAGGCCCCAATACCTACCAGGTTAACCACCACCGTTTTTGAAAAAAAATATCTAGAGCTGCTTTTGCTGTTGCGTCGGCACATCCAAGGTGATCTGGCACAATTTTGTATTAATGGAAGGCTATGCTAGACCTGTGATGATGGTCCCATGGACTTCAATGCTGTGAGTCATTGACCCAAGATTAGGAGTGCTGACCTCACTCTTACTTATCTGACTCGCATGCTTGGTCCTAATCGATGACTCAAAAGGTATTAATGTCAGGGACAACTAAGGAGAAGGTGGTTGGAAAGGGCCTCCTCTGCATTTCAGGAGAGGTGTCCTTTTAAGGGTCATCTACAGTTTTGTGGCGTGATTATTAGAGAAGAGCTGTGGTCTGTCTGTCAATATATTTCGTCAATATGATCAGCTTTGAAAAATGACTTCTATCCATGGTCTATCCATGGTCCTTGTGTTTTTTAAACCTTGTTGCCCTATATAGTCTGTAAGTGTATAAGCACATGACTGCGGCCATCTTTTAAGGTGGTCTTCGCTTCCTGCTTAGTGGTGACTGCGATTTCAGTGCAAGCCAATGGATCAGCTCTGACCCAACAGAGCACAGAAGGCTCTTTATAGAACTGGTTGAGATGAACAGTTGTGATGAGCTTCGGTTCAGGCTTGAGTTTGGTTCAAATCCAGAAGGCAGCTGTCATTGCTGGGCCAATGAGCTGCAAGCAGGGGATTCCCCGCCATGTGGCTGATGTACACAAAGGGTTGGGATTCTCATTTCATCATTCACCTCATTTGGCCAGACGGTCGGATTGGGTCATTGTCCTTGTCCTAAAATGGCTAGATTAGGTCAGTGATGTCATAAGAATACCCATCCTGCAGCCGATGGGGATGGGGATTCTCATGTCATCACTGACCTAATCTAGCCATTTTAGGACAAGGACAATGACCCAATCTGACCGTCTGGCCAAATGAGGTCAATGATGTAATGAGAATCCCAACCCTTTCTCATGTCATTACTGATTTTAAAATAGCAATATGGCCATTTTAGGACAAGGACATTGACCCAATATGACTATCTGGCCAAATTGAGTCAATGATGTCATAGGAATCCCCACATGAAGTCTACAGGTTCAGCTCTGGCCCAAACCAGCACACAAGGCTTTTTATAGAATTTACTAAGCTGAACAGTAGTAATGAGTTTTGGTTCAGGCTTGAGTTTGGTTCAAAACCAAAAGGAAGCTGCCATTGCTGGGCCAGTGAGATGCAGGCAGGTGATTCCCCACCATGCACCATGCGGCTAATGTACACAAAGGGGTGGGGATTATCATGTCATTACTGACTTAATATAGCAATATGTCCATTTTAGGACAAGGACTTTGACCCAATATGACTATCTGGCCAAATTGGGTCAATGATGTCATAGGAATCCCCACATGAAGTCTACAGGTTCAGGTCTGGCCCAAACAAGCACAGAAGGTTCTTATAGAATTGACTAAGCTGAACAGTAGTAATGAGTTTAGGTTCAGGCTTGAGTTTGGTTCAAACCCAAAAGGAAGCTGCCATTGCTGGGCCAGTGAGCTGCAGGCAAGGGATTCCCCACCACGCAGCTGATGTACACAAAGGGTTGGGGTTCTCATTACATCATTGGCCTCGTTTGGCCAGACAGTCATATTGGGTCAATGTCTTTGTCCGAAAATGGCCATATGGCTATATTAGGGCAGTGATGTCATGAGAATCCCTACTCCTTTGTGTACATCAGCCTCAGGCTCAGGAATCCCCACAGCAAGCCTACAGGTCAGGTCTGATCCAACCAGCACAAAGGGCTCTTTATAGAACTGGCTAAGCTGAACAGTAATGATGAGCTTGGGTTCAGGCTTGAGTTTGGTTTGAACCCAGAAGTTAGCTGTCATTGCTGGGCCAATGAGCTGCAGGTGGGGGATTCCCCACCCTGCAGCTGACATACACAAAGGGTTGGGGGTTCTCATTACATCATTGACCTCATTTGCCAACATGGTCATATTGGATCAATGTCCTTGTCTTAAAATGGCCATGTGGTCATATTAAGTCAATGATGTCACAAGAATACCCACCCCTTGTATCTCAGCTTTGGGGAGGGGAAATTCAAGCTCAATCCAGCTTATTGACTGAGGCATAACACACACGTTGAACTAGATGGACACAAAGAGGTGGGGATTCTCATGTCATGACTGACTTAATATAGCAATATGGCCATTTTAGGACAAGGACATTGACCCAATATGACTATCTGGCCAAACTGGGCAAATGATGTCATAGGAATCCCCACATGAAGTCTACAGGTTCTGTTCTAGCCCAAACAACCACAGAAGGCTTTTATTTAACTTTTCCAACTATGAAACTATGAACTTCAGGGTTCAAATTAAACCCAAGCTCATCCCTACTCAACAACCCATGAACAGAGAAGACCAGATACTTTACAGCAACAAATTATCACTACAGGGAGCATGCAGAAATCTATATAAGGAACAGCATGTCTTTGTAAAGGGAATAAACTCTGCGGTGGGTATGGAGGAGCACCTAGTACAAAAGTTCATATCACTCTGAGGACTTTTTAAAAATGTTTATTCAATAAGAGCATATAAAAGCTGCCAGCAGGTCTCAGGGGAAAGGCCTCCCCCCTCCTCAGGGCTTGAGCGGTGGATGTTAACAGAATCACAATGAGATACAACAGAAGACTTATGTTAGAGCTTTATAAAAACTGTCAGTCATAGCGGCCTTAGGAACTGCTGGCTAGGTTTTCATAAAGGGAATGTCTTCAACAGTGAAATGTATCAACACAATTCCTGGAAATGGTTTATTCTTCATTCTGGGATCATGGAAAAATTTCTTTATGCCCCTGTTGCCAACTATCCTCCCAGAACCATTGGTGTATAGAACACATGCAATCCGAGTTTACTCCTACCTATATACAGTTGTTACATCATTGCAAGGTATGGAGCATTTGACTTCATGAGCTTGGGGATGCCCAGCTAATTGGCCCATAGTAAGGTGGGTCAAGAGGAGTTGTTCCATACCTTGTACTGAAGGAAAATTTTTGTTGCCCAAAGCCGATAATGAGAATCTTCCTTGATGCCTTAAAAAATTGAAGGCTTGAATTTGGTTTCATTGGCAACCATAAAGGTTCCTCCTTGAGATGTCTATGCCAAGATGGCTAGTCAGCCCATAGAAAGGTGGGTCAAGAGGAGTTGCTCCACATCCTAGACAGGTGCGCCATGCCTCATCGTGAAGGAAAGTTTTTGTTGCCCAAAGCAGATAATGAGAATCTTCCTTGCTGCGTTAGAATATTGAAAGGTCAAATGTGGATTTATGGGCAACCAGAATGGTTCCTCCCTAAGATGTCTATGCCAAAATAGCCAGTCATCCCATAGTAAGGTGGTTAAGGAGAAGTTGTTTCCACATCTTTGTTCCATGCCTTGTCCTGAAGGAAAGTTTTTTTTTTTGTTGCCCAAATCAGATAACGAGAATCTTCCTTGCTGCCCTAAAACATTGAAAGGTTGAATTTGGTTTTTATGGGCAACCACAATAGTTCCTCCTTAAGATGTCTATGCCAACATAGCTAGTCAGCTCAAGTTAAGGTGGTTCAGTAGAAGTTGTTCCACATATTTGTTGCATAGCTCATCCTGCAGGAAATTTTTGTTGCCCAAAGCAGATAATGAGAATCTTTCTTGCTGCCTTAGAACATTGAAAGGTCAAAAGTGGATTTATGGGCAACCAGAATGGTTCCTCCCTAAGATGTCTATGCCAAAATAGCCAGTCAGCCCATAGTAAGGTTGTTAAGGAGAAGTTGTTCCACATCTTTGTTCCATGCCTTGTCCTGAAGGAACGTTTTTTTATTGCCCAAAGCAGATAATGAGAATCTTCCTTGCTGCCCTAAAACATTGTTGACAACCACTGGTCTAGGGGGTAAAACATTGAAAGGTTGAATTTGTTTTTTTTATGGGCAACAACAATAGTTCCTCCTTTAGATGTCTATGCCAACATCTAGTCAGCTCATGGTAAGGTGGTTCAGTAAAAGTTGTTCCACATCCTTGTTCCTTGCCTTGTCCTGAAGGAAAGTTTTTTTGTTGCCCAAAGCAGATAATGAGAATCTTCCTTGCTGCCCTAAAACATTGAAAGGTTGAATTTGGTTTTTATGGGCAGCCACAATAGTTCCTCCTTTTAGATGTCTATGCCAACATAGCTAGTCAGCTCACAGTAAGGTGGTTCAGTAGAAGTTGTTCCACATCTTTGTTCCATGCCTTGTCCTGAAGGAACGTTTTTTTATTGCCCAAAGCAGATAATGAGAATCTTCCTTGCTGCTTCAGAACATTGAATGGTCAAATATGGTTTTATGGGCAACCACAATGGCTCTTCTTGAAATGTTGCATACAACCAGTATTGGATTCTACAAAGTATCATGGTAATAGCTAATGAATTAAAGATTTTTTATATTTAATTTAAGTATCTGAATCTGTGGTTTGTGTTGCGTATCACCTCTGTCATTTTCACCAACTGTCCTTAACCTGACTTCTGACTGACTGCATGAAGTGAACACAAATAGTTCTGTTTTCACATGCTTTGATAAATAACAGAATGCCGCCTATGGTTAACTCTTCTTTGTCTTCCACAGATGATCCTCCGCTGACCCTTGCGTTTGGGTCGTCATCATGGATAACTCTCCCTCCACTTCCCCACCTCCCCCTGACTCCTCTGCCCTTTTACGACTCTTCACATGCCCTCCACCTCCTGCGAGGTATTAACGAACTGAGGGCTGAGCACAAGTTCTTCGACATGACTGTGAGCGCTGGAGGGCATGACTTCCCATGCCACCGCACCGTTTTGGCTGCGGCCAGCAACTACTTCCGTGCCATGTTTGCAGGGAGGCTGCGGGAGAGCCAGGCTGAGCGGGTGGAGCTGCATCAGGTCACTGGACCCATCCTGGGTCTGCTGGTGGATTTCTGCTACACTGGCCGGGTGACTGTCACTCAAGAGAATGTGGAACCCCTTCTGCAGGCCGCGGACCTCTTCCAGTTCCCCTCAGTGAAGGAGGCCTGCTGTGCCTATCTGGAGCGTCAGCTAGATGTCAGCAACTGTCTGGAGATCCAGGACTTTGCCGAGGCCTACGCCTGCCGGGGCTTGGCTGAGAGCACCAAGCGCTTCATCCTGGCCCACATGCCACAACTGGCCCAGGCCCGGGAGGTGGAACGGTTGCCGTGGCAACGGATGCTGGAATATATCATGGATGACCGCTTGTGCGTGGACAAGGAGGAGGCGGCTTATCAGATTATCCTTAGGTGGGTCAGGGCTGACCTCCCCCACCGCCAGCACCGCTGGCCTGAGCTCTTCCAGCACATCCGTCTGCCCTTCATCCGTCGCTTTTACCTGTTGGCCCACGTGGAGAGCGACCCCCTGGTCTACTTCAGCCCCTCTTGCTTGAGGCTCATTGGTGAAGCCCGTGCCTTCCAGTCTTCCGAGTACGACCGTCACGACCTGCCCTGCGAGAGAATGAGGCCACGGCCTTCCACGGGACTGGCAGAGATATTAGTGGTGGTGGTCGGCGGCTGCGACCAGGACTGTGATGAGCTGGTGACGGTGGACTGTTATAACCCTCACACGGGGCAGTGGCGGTACCTGGCGGAATTCCCGGATCATCTGGGAGGCGGCTACAGCATTGCAGCACTGGGGAATGACATCTACGTGACAGGTGAGCGGTGATCTTCTGTTAGACCAATTAGTTTGGTCAAAGAAAATCCTACTTTGATTTTAATGTTTTTGGTTCCCTAGGGGTCAAAGTGCATGCAATGCTTTTGTCTTCACCTCCTAAGTCTAGCTGTGAGGGGCAGATAGAACTGTACTTGGGAATACGCATGCGTGTGTTTATGTGCGTTTATCAGCCATTGATATCTATGAGCGACTGTATGCAATACCTGTATCTCCCAGGCAGCAATATACGGCCCCTCCTTATTATCTAACATCTTGTCCACAGCTCTGGTCCCCGGCAATGGACTGACTATCCTCAGTAGTGTATTTAGATTGCGCCCCCCCTCCCCAATGAGAGCATTCAATAAGTGTGTGTATGTATATATGATTCTCTCTCCCCCCTCTCCCTTTCTCCCCCCCTTCTCTCTTCCCGCTCTTTCTCCCCTTCCCCCCTCTCTTGCTCTCCCCCTCTTACTTCCCCCCCTCTCTCTCCCCCTCTTGCTTCCCCCCTCTCTCTCCTCTCCCCCTCTTGCTTCCCCCTCTCTCTCTCTCCCCTCTCTCTCTCTCCCCCCCTCTCTCTCTCCCCCCCCTCTTGCTTGCCCCCTCTCTTCCTCCCCCCTCTCTCTCCCCCCCTCTCTCTCTTTCTTCCCTCTCCCCCCTCTCTCTCTTCCCTCTCCCCCTTTCTCTCTTCCCTCTCCCCCCCTCTCTTCCCCTCTCTCCCTCCCCTCTCTTCCCTCTCCCCCCCCTCTCTTCCCTCCCCCCCCCTCTCTTCCCTCTCCCCCCTCTCTCTCTTCCCTCTCCCCCCCTTCCCTCTCTTCCCCCTCTCTCTCTCCCCTCTCCCCCTCTTTCCCCCTCTCTCTTACCCTCCCCCCCTCTCTCTCCCCACCTCTTTCCATCTCTCTCTTACCCTCTCCCCTCTCTCTCCCCCCCCTCTCTCTCTTCCCCCCTCTCTCTCTGTTTCCCCCCTCTCTCTCCCCCCCCCCCTCTCTCTCTCCCTCTCTCACGACAGTCGCTTTGCAACTGCCCTCCCCCATGCCCCACCACATTGATCTTCCTGCTGTCCGCCGCTGCTCAAACGGTCCCTTTCTCTGGGGGGGGGGGCATACGCCCGACTATCCTGCTACCTGTCCTTGATTTAAACATAACTTTATATTGAGATCACTGGCAGAGGTCACGGGGGGAGGGGGCCATGACTGGTAGTCTGCCCCTGATCCAGGTTATATCTGTGACCCTCCCCCAGCGTAAATCATGCACAGCTGGAGCCGTTTGGTGGTTCCTGTAAGCCCCTCCAGGCTTTTCCTTTGTCCCGGCCATGGGAGCGGTTGGCCCAGATCCATGTTGGGTAGACAGGTTCACACTCCTCGGCTTCCCCCTCTTTATGTCACGCGCTGGTGTATTAATAGTCGTCAGCCGCTCTCAATAAACAACTAGAACAAGCAAATACGTTTCGTTTGCAGCGAGAGGACCTCAGTCAGTCCCTGGATCCTAATATTCAAGCAGAGAGTATGGGACTCCAGGCAGATCTAAAAGATACAAATGAATGCGGCTCTGCGATCAATAATACACCATTAAATGTATTTGTTAAATGCAAGCGCTGTAAGTAGCTGAATGGGACCTGTTATCCGCCTCCTGTAGTCCCTGTGCAGAGAGGAAGAAGTGGTACAAGGAGCATGCTGACAGTAGAAGAGAGCAGAGTGACAGAGAGATGAGCTCATCACTGTGTTGCTTCTCCTTTCACTGTCCAGTCACAGGCTGGGGCGGGTTCAGGATGAGTGATGCTGGCCATCAGACTGAGGACATCTAGTGGCAGTAAATAAGTACTGCAGGAGAGGTCTCTGCATTGAAGGTGAAGACTGCAGCAGTTTTGTAATGGTATCGTTTAGTGAGCTGTTCATGATTATCATTTTTTTTTAGCTGGAGAGTCAGTTCTCTAGCACAGGCCTCTCCCTCCTTGCACTTCTAAGCCCTCTCCTCTTCTAGGAGTGTCTAGTTATTGTATGTGCTGGCCCAGCTCCTCCCCCCGCATAACCTTTTTTATGTAGCTGCGATGGAGGAGCGAAGAGGAATACTATAGAGCAGGGATGTCAAACTGGCGGCCCTCCAGATGTTGCCAAACTACAAGTCCCATCATGCCTCTGCCTTTGGAAGTCATGCTTGTAACTGTCAATCTTGCAATGCCTCATGGGACTTGTAGTTTGGCAACAGCTGGAGGGCCGCCAGTTTGACACCCGTGCCCTAGAGGGTCACTTGAGTCCAACTCTGTAATCCTTAAAGTGGTTCTGAAGGCTCAATTGTATGCAAGAAGGTAAAAAAAAAACTTGTGTGTAGCAGCCCCCACTAACACCTACCTGAGCCCCATATTCATCCATGTCCAGGAGAGCCTCAGTTCTCCCGAGACTCCCACTCCTGATTGGCTCACTGGCTGTGATTGAAAGCCTCAGCCAATCAGGAGAGGGAGGGGTGGGGCCGAGCCATGGCTCTGTGTGTGAATGGACATGCAGAGCTGCGGCTCTCGAGTGCACCTGCTCAGGTGCCCCCAAAGCAAGCTGCTTGCTGTGGGGACACCTGACGGGAGGGAGGGACCAGGAGAACTGACGGGGGACCCGAGAAAAGGAGGATCGGGGCTGCTCTGAGCAAAACCACTACACAGAGCAGGTAAGTATAACATGTTTGTTATTAAAAAAAAAAGACTTTAGTATCACTTTAATAAATCACTAAATGTATTTTTTAAATGCAAGCGGCTTACGTTCCTCCTGAAGGTGACCTGGTGCAGCCGGACTGGAGTGCAAGAGGAAGAAGCAGTACAAGGAACCAATCGGTTCATGTGGTGACAAAGAGCATGCTGATTGCTCTCTCATCCTGAGTGACAGGTGCACTGCTTCTCCTTTCACTGTTCAATCACAGACCGGGGGGGAGGAGGGTGCAGGACAACCTGGGCTCAGAGGAAGAGGACTGAGTGATGTTGGACACCTTGAGGCAAGAAAGTACTATGAGCGAAATCCTCTGGAATGAAGGTGAAAACGCAGCAAAAGTTAGTTTTTGTAATTGTATCTTTTTATTGAGCTCTTTATTTAGCTCTTTATTTTATCTTTTTAGCTGGAGTTCTGCTTTAAAGTAATTTTAAAATACACTATATTGCCACAATTATTGGGCCCTCCCTCCAAATCATGTGATTCAGGTGTTCCAATCCCCTCCATATCATGTGATTCAGGTGTTCCAATCCCCTCCATATCATGTGATTCAGGTGTTCCAATCCCCTCCAAATCATGTGATTCAGGTGTTCCAATCCCCTCCATATCATGTGATTCAGGTGTTCCAATCCCCTCCAAATCATGTGATTCAGGTGTTCCAATCCCCTCCAAATCATGTGATTCAGGTGTTCCAATCCTCTCGATATCATGTGATTCCGGTGTTCCAATCCCCTCCATGGACACAGGTGTATACAATCAAGCCCCTAGGCATGCAGACGGCTTCTACAAACAATGGTGAAAGAATGGGTCGCTCTCAGGAGCTCAGTGATTCCAAGCGTGGTCCCGTGATAGGTGGCCACCTGGGCAATAAGTCCATCCTGTGGCATTTCCTGGCTACTAAATATTCCACGCTCAACTGTTAGTGGGATGATAACAAAGTGGAAGCCACTGGGAACAACAGCCACTCAGCCACCAAGTGGTAGGCCACGTCACATGACAGGGCGGGGTCAGCGCATGCTGAAGTGCACAGTGCGCAGAAGTCACCAACTGTCTGCAGAGTCAATAGCTAAAGACCTCCAAACTTGGTGTGGCCTTCAGATGAGCACAACAACAGTGCGTAGAGAGCTTCATGGAATGGGTTTCCATGGCCGAGCAGCTGCATCCAAGCCTTCCATCACCAAGTGCAACGCAAAGCGTCGGGTGCCGTGGTGTAAAGCACACCGCCACTGGACTCTAGAGCAGGGGAGATGTGTTCTCTCGCTTCTCTGTCTGGCAATCCGATGGACCTGTCTGGGTTTGGCAGTGGCCAGGAGAACGATACTTGCCTGACTGCATTGTGCCAAGTGTAAAGTTTGGTGGAGGGGGGATTATGGTGTGGGGTTGTTTTTCAGGGGTTGGGCTTGGCCCCCTAGTTCCAGTGAAGGGAACTCTTAAGGAGTCAGCATACAAAGACATTATGGACAATTTCATACTCCCAACTTTGTGGGAAGAGTTTGGGGATGGCCCCTGTAACAGCGTATACCCAGAGATGGACGCGGTTCAACCATTTTGGTTTCAACCTCCATCTTGGCAAAGGGATTAACCCTCCTGACAAATATATTTCTCCCTCATTCTTCCCCCTTATCGGAGAGGTCCAGCAACATTTGGCCAGATGTGTGTGAGTTAGGAATGTCATAGGAGCTATAAAGCCCCCCAAGGGAGCCGGGGCCTCCCTGTCCAAAGAACCTGCAAATTGTAACACCTCGGAAGAGATAAGGCAAGCTTTCCCAGGAGTTGAAAGAGATTCCAACCTAATAAACCTAACTCAGCTTAGGTGACAGAATCAGATAACCTCTGTTAAAATCCATCTTTCCCCTGTGTCTCATATCTTGGAATATGAGAGACTTACATAAAAAACAGGCATATCGTCAGATGGGCGATGAGCAGGCGAACAATTTGATGGGTCACTCGCCTTGTCTCGGACACATAGGAAAGCAGAAAAATAGATCTCGTGAACCGTTCAGTGTATAATTTTATAATTCATATCTAATCAATCCTCAGACTTGTCTGCATAATAATCTACCTGTGGGTGGAATGTCACTTGTGCAGCTGGAAAGTTATGAGCCAAAATATGAGTTACGGGAGATTTTGGCTGTAGTTGAGCTATCCACCCACACCTACATGCCCTAAACTGGGTATTGGTCCTCGACTTCAGAGACACCCCCTGCTGGGGGACTTCAAAATAGGCTGTCAGGCCTAAGAGTGAGGTTGAAGACGTCTCCCATTTTAACATCAATACCACCTGGGGAGACTTGTGCCCTTTTGCTCTGAAACTTGGGATCTGCTAACCCAGGACTTTGGCAAGTACCTTAACCCTTTCACCTCTCTCTGATATCTCTTTGCTGTGCTGTTGGTCTCTGTATGTTTATATATATATATATCTTTGTTACATTTTTTCTGTAAATATTTTTATTGCACCCATTTGACCTTTTAGTAATAAATCTTTCCTTCTGAAAGTGTTGAACTGTTTCTACAGCTCTTAATTGCAATTTACGAATTCCTGCCTCTAAAAGGGCGCTACCGTGTTTGTTTAGTCCTCTGTATAATCGGCCTGCGGTGACCGTGTTATGCAGACGATTATTTCAATCATTATAGTGTATAGCAGATATTGCTGAGTTTCCTCTTTCTCTGTATAAAAAGGAGGTGGTGGCAGTGTGAAGGGTTAATTGCGTAATTAACCTGACCCAGTAACAATTGCTCAGGCTGACGGTACATCGATCTGTGGTCCATTAGCTGGAAAATCGTTGTGCAGGGTGAAGCTGAGTGTGGCATTGTTACGCACGTGACATCTCGGTTTTAGATTGGCTAGTCCTTTGGTCACGAGTTGGTGAGAAGGTCTGGGGTCTGACGCCGCGATCGTGACAGCCCTTTCCTGTTCCAACATGACTGCGCACCAGTGCACAAAGCAAGGTCCATAAAGACATGGTGAGACTTCTTTGTAATGGCTGCAGGAAGTGGGCGGAGCTGTGCAGAGGTGTCATGGTTGGAGTTGGTGATGTAGATCTGGGTAATGCAAATGAACCTGAAATATTGGCTTTGGAGGGACTGACACATAATATGCTCCGAGATCAGAACTGAAGGAACCCAACTGCTGGAGATGATAGTCCCTTCTTTACATCCTGAGGCTCAGCCCACTTCCTCCCCCTTCTCCTTCACCTTTATGCTGCTTTGATGGGGAGCTGTAAAAATATCAATGGGCCCAAGTCATCCATGAGTTGGACAGATGGGATCTGGGGTGAATGGAGTTAGTTCTGACCCCATGGCCGTACCTTTCCTTAAAATTGCAATAAAGGAGAAGGGAGGCTCCACTCCAAAAATGTGCTCTTGGCCCCCATGCCTGCTAAGAATCGTCCCTTAAATCCTCCCTCTGGCCTTCCCTTCAGTCTTGCACAGTTGTACCTTCTCCTCTCCTGTATTGAAACGGCTTACTCTGATTTCACTGCACACTGTGAGCTTCTCACAATATGCATTAGAAGCTGCAGCAAGTCAGATAGAGCTCCATCTCATTTTCTGGCTGGAGGACGTCCAGCATCCTCTTGCTTTTTCCTCCCCGGTCTGACTGTCCCTGGCACATCTCTTTCATTGGATTTTGGTTCTTTCAATCACGGAGGCTCAGCATCACATCTGGGTGTTACCTGGTCAGTCCTCATGCAAATACAGCCCTACTAAGAATGCCCACTCCTCCAGACTGACACCCACCCATCAAGACATTTTGATATATTTGAATAACTCCTCCCAAGAGCCGGCCCACTGCTTGCATCTAAGCTGAAGTGCTCTTTAGAGAAGAGCTAAGGTAGGTGTTTTAGCACCCTGCTGGCCACTCCCATCAGCCATGTTCTGCATGCATTGCATAGAGAAACGCAGAGACCCAGTGATGACATCACAAGGTATAAATTAAGAATTGTAATGAAGATTTTATTTTAAAAATTGTGTTGGCATGGAAGGGGGAGGGAGGACCAGGGAAGGTGATATATAAGCTGATTGAACTCCAGTGGTCCAAGGCGCATCGGTCTTCTTGCTGACTATGCTGAGGCTCTTGTAGACATTCAGTGCCGTGTTCAGAGTTTTGAACACGGCCTACAAACCAAGCTGAAGGCAGCATTCACAGCCCGGTGCCAGCTAATGTGCCGTGATTGCCTCATTATGACAAGGTGACAATGACGACGTCCCCAGGGAGTGCCTGCAGCAGGTGCGGGACTGAGGAACTACTATGACAGTCCTTATTACTGGATTAGCCGCGCCATCTGTTCCTAGATTCATGCAAGGTCTACATACAAGGTTCTCCAAAATTCTCAGTACGAGGGCCACATCATGTCATTCACACAAAAATGAATGGGCCAAAAAATGTATAAATGAACAAATTAAATTCTACACAAATAAATAGGTTTTACTTGGAGTTTTTTTTTTTTTTAACTTATTCAGCATGATACGAATTAGAACTTTAATAAATGGTCCCTATCTGAGACCCTTACATGACTGTCCCCATCAGAGTCCTCCCCCCTTACATGACAGTCCCCATCGGAGTCCTCCCCCCTTACATGACAGTCCCCATCGGAGTCCTCCCCCCTTACATGACAGTCCCCATCGGAGTCCTCCCCCCTTACATGACAGTCCCCATCGGAGTCCTCCCCCCTTACATGACAGTCCCCATCGGAGTCCTCCCCCCTTACATGACAGTCCCCATCGGAGTCCTCCCCCCTTACATGACAGTCCCCATCGGAGTCCTCCCCCCTTACATGACAGTCCCCATCGGAGTCCTCCCCCCTTACATGACAGTCCCCATCGGAGTCCTCCCCCCTTACATGACAGTCCCCATCGGAGTCCTCCCCCCTTTACATGGCTGTCCCCATCGGAGTCCTCCCCCTTTACATGGCTGTCCCCATCAATCAGAGTCCTCCCCCCTTACATGGCTGTCTCCATCAGTGTCCTCCCCCCATACATAACAGTCCCCATCGGAGTCCTACCCCCTTACAAGATGGTCCCCATCAGAGTCACCCCCCCCTTACACGAGGGTCCCCCCCACAGTTCCCCCCACTCCCTTACGTGAGAGTCTCCCACCTTACATAAGGGTACCCACCAGAGTCTCCACCCCTTACACAATGGTCTCCACCAGATTTTTTCCCCTTTCTTGAGGGTCCTTACCAGCATCCACCCTCCCCTTACACGAGGGTCCCCACCACGGTCCCTGCTCCCCTTACATGAGGGTCCCCACCGTTGTCCCCTCCCTACATGAGAATCCCCCCCTTACACGAGGGTTCCCACCAGAGTCTTCCCCCCCCCCCCGTTACTTGAGGGGCCCCATCACAGTCCCCCCCCCTTACACGAGGGTCCTTACCATATTATTGCCCTCCTTACATGAGGGTGCCCACCACAGTTCCCCCCCTTTACATGAGGGTCCCCACCAGCGTCCACCCTCCCCTTTACATGAGGGTCCCCACCACAGTCCCTCCTCCCCTTACGTGAGGGTCCCCACCGTTGTCCCCTCCCTACATGAAGGTTCCCCCCCCTTACACGAGGGTTCCTACCAGAGTTTCCCCCGTTACTTGAGGGTCCCCATCACAGTACCCCCCCCCCTCCCCCCCCTTACACGAGGGTCCTTACCAGATTATTTCCCTCCTTACATGACGGTCCCCACCACAGTCCCCCCCATTTACACGAGGGTCCTCCACCAGATTCTTTCCCCCCTTACATGAGGATCCCCACCTTACATGAGGGTCCCCACCTTCCATGAAGGTCCTCTCCACAGTCCCCCTCCCTTACATGAGGGTCCCCACCAGTTTCTTTCCCCACCTTACATGAAGGTCCCCTCTATAGTCCCCTCCCCCTCCCTTACATAAGGGTCCCCACCAAAGTCTCTCATCCTTATGTGGGTCCCCACCAGAGTCCCATCCCCCCCATCTTACATGAGGGTCCCCCCTTACATCAGAGGAGCAGATAAAATGTTGCAGCAGGCCAGGTTTAGCCCACAGGCCATAGTTTAGAGACCCCTGTTCTGCAAGCTACCACCACATAAAGCCGTCACTCTATCACACAACTAACGTACTGCACAGCACTAAAGCCTCCAAAAAGACGTTGGCCTACAGTATTTTCCCATGTATGGTGGCATCATGGAGGCACTCCTGGGTTCAGGATCCATTTCCTAGGATCTCTGGGCTGTAAAGCACCAGCAAAGCCCTTGTAGGTTCTCCTAGTTATTGTGTCCTCCTGCTTGGTAAGACATACGATTAGGTCACTTTGCCACCTTCAAATGATTCCCAGAGTGTGATGGAGGGAAACCTTTTCTCAGGCTGTCTTGCTGTAGCCACCAGTCATAATGCCCTACCAGCTTTGCTGCATTATCTTGCCCCCCAAAAATCTTCTCTTCTGATTGGTGGCAGTTCTGAGCGTTGGTTCCCATGTACCTCAGGAGCTGCCTGCTTTAGAGAAAATATATTTTTGGATGCTACCACAGCTGAATCATGTGTTATACATGCACAAGTGGGTAGGACACTTCCAACTTAAGTTGAGGTAAAAAAAAAACCAAACTTTTTTTAGTTATCCAAAAGTTGGCAAAGCTGGAGCTCCTTCATCATTGCTGGAGGCCTTCAATTCTGCTACTTCAGGCCTTACAAGAATTTATACAACATCCAACCCCTGATGCAGAGAGTGTTCAGACCCCAGAAACGTGTTGGCTTTTTCAGTTCTTTGACAAAATAACTTTTCCTTGGGCTCCTTAGTGGTTTGGCACTCTTCACGCTAGGGTGACTTTGTCAAACAAGATGTCAGGAATGGACTCACCTGCCGTGTGGGCTGCAGTACCAGGGCTGACCAGCGGGTGCTCTCAGCAGCCAGAAGCTCACTCCTGCAGTCAGCCAACACCTGAAGCTGATTGCAGGAAGTGTATTTAAGGAATGACCAGGCCTGTGATCAGGGCCTTGGTGTAATGTTTCCCATGAGCCCCTGTACCTGGTATCCTGTGTTCCTGCCTCGTTGCTGACCCTGCTTTGATCCTGACCTCTGCTGACTGTCTCCTGTTGAACCCCTGGCTTGCCTGACCATCCTTCTGCCTGATCCACGTACCGCGCTGCCCGCTACCTGCTGAACCTGGCTTGTGACCCCGACTATTCTCTGCTTGCTCCTCCTGTACCACGCTGCCCGCACGATACCGACCCGGGCCTGTCTGACTACGCTTTCTTCACCCGACGATCCATCCATCCCGCACGGATCACCTTTAGTAAGTCTGCCTGCCTCTTCCCATCAGACTCCGTTCCTGCACTCCCCTGCCAGTACTCTCTACCACAGCCGGACGCACTCAGGGGTCGCGACCTGGTTCCAGTCTGCACCAAGTCCATCCCCACCATCAGGGGCCCTGGTGAATAGCAGGCTGGGACTTAGACCCCACGCCCTGAGGAAATCCGTGCTGTGGGCTGCTAGAGACACTGCCAGGCGGCACCTGACAGTACCTTACAGCCTGCCTGACCATTCCACCTCTCCAGCCTGACTACGCCTGTGTTCCTGAAGCCTGCTACTTCCCTGTGTCAGTCCACACATTTCCGGTCATACCCGGATCCCTAACACAAGAGTTCCTCACCGCAGCCATTTAGCTTTAGAAATTGGTTTGACACCCTGCACTATTGCACCAATTATTGGTATTCCCTGCACCTGTTTTGATACCGCTTCAGGTTTTTATTGCTGTCAGTGTCCCCACTGGGGAGATTCACTCTGTGTACCCTGATGGCCATTCTCTCAAAGTAAGAGGAAACGTCCCGGAGGGTTGACACCAGCGCAATAAAAAGGAAATCCTGGGATGGGGACGTTTTCTATGGATAGCTGTCTGAGGGGGAATTTCCCTTGCTTTGAAGATGTTCCCTCTTATGTGTTGTATTAGAAGATGAATTGGTTGAACTGGATGGACTTTTGTCTTTTTTTCAGCCAGACTAACTATGTAAGGAACTGCAATGAAATCTCTCCAATGGGACATGAATGTTGGCTTTAGTTACACTTTAACCTGGACATACAGGTTTGGTTACATAATCTTCTTTAGAAGAACCACACAGGGTGAAGGCCTACCAGGTCGAATATTCCATTTAGGAAGGCCAACCTGGTTGAACACTCTTTCCTTTTTTTTTTTTTTTTTTTTTTTTTTTTTTTTTTTAGGAAGGCTTGACTGGTTTGCATGTGTATTTTTCCCAGACATACAGTTGTGTTCAAAATAATATCAGTCCGACATCACTAACTGGATAAATCACTGTTTTTGGTAGAAATGATATTTCTACACGGCAAATAATTTCCTAGCAGGTGTAGTAGAGTCATAGAAATCCAACAGACCCAACAGTCATGACATGCATGCTGCTGATTCTGTGTCATTGAATCACTCATTGAGGGGCGTGTTCAAAATAATAGCCGTGTGGAGTTCTATTAGTGACGTCATTCATTCTTTGAAAAACAGGTGGCAATTATTGCCCTTATTTAAGGAAGGAAGGCAGCAAATGTTGGACATGCTGGTTACAGTGCATTTCTCTCTGAAATTCTGAGGAAAATGGGTCGTTCCAGACATTGTTCAGAAGAACAGCGTACCTTGATTAAAAAGTTGATTGGAGAGGGGAAAAACATATAAAGTGCAGAAAATGATCGGCTGCTCAGCTAGAATGAACGCAAATGCTTTAAAATGGCAACCAAAACCTGAAAGATGGAAGAAAGTGAAAAACTACCATTGGAATGGATAGAAGAATAGCCAAAATGGGGCGGACTCAGCCAACAATCAGCTCCAGGAAGATGAAAGAAGGTGTGACGTTCCCTGTGAGGACTCAGCCAACAATCAGCTCCAGGAAGAGGAAAGAAGGTGTGACGTTCCCTGTGAGGACTGTTACAATTAGAAGACGCCGATGTGAAGCCAAGCTATCTGCAAGAAGTCCCCGCAAAGTCCCACTGTTGGGAAAAAGACGTGTGCTGAAGAGGTTACAATCTGCCAAAGAGCACATTGACCGGCCTAAAGAAAAATGACGCAACATTTTGTGGACTGATGAAAGTAAGATTGTTCTTTTTGGGTCTAGTGGCCGGAGACAGTTTGTCAGACGACCCCCAAACACTGAATTCAAGCCACAGTACACTGTGAAGACCGTGAAGCATGGTGGTGCAAGCATCATGATATGGGGATGTTTCTCATACTACGGTGTTGGACCTATTTATCGCATACCAGGGATCATGGATCAGTTTGAATCCATCAGAATACTTGAAGAGGTCATGCTGCCTTATGCTGAAGAGGAAATGCCCTTGAAATGTTCCAACAAGACAACGACCCCAAACACACCAGTAAACGTGCAACATCTTGGTTCCAGACCAACAAGATGGACGTTATGGAGTGGCCAGCCCAATCCCCGGATCTTCATCCAATAGAAAACTTGTGGGGTGACATCAAAAATGCCGTTTCTGAGGCAAAACCAAGAAATAGAGAAGAACTGTGGAATGTGGTCCAATCATCCTGGGCTGGAATACCTGATCACAGGGGCCAGAAGTTGGGGGACTCCATGCAACACAGATGTACAGCAGTTCTCAGAAACAGTGCGACTACAACCAAATATTCATGAAGTCATTCAAAGGAAAGCAAAATATTCAAACATTTCTCAGTTTATATAGTGAATGTTTGAGTTTGTAAAGAAGAATACAAACACTGAGATTTTTTTGAACCGTCTAATATTCACTTTTCTTCAATTTTTTTTTTAGAGGAACAACACAAATTTGATGTATTTTTGATTTGGAATAGAATGTGTCGTGTTCCCAATGCATTTGTGTGGATGGAAATAAAAGCTATTAGAAGGATTTTCAGCTTTATTCACTTATTTCAACACACTGCTATTATTTTGAACACAACTGTACATGTTATGAATACCTTTTTCTATTTGTGTGTTTTTCAGGAGGGTCTGATGGCTCCCGGTTATACGACTGCGTTTGGCGGTATAACTCCAGCGTGAACGAATGGACAGAAGTCTCTCCCATGCTGAAGGCCCGGGAATATCACAGCTCCACCGTGCTGAAAGGCTTGCTTTACGTCATTGCGTCAGACAGCACAGAGCGCTACGACCACAGCGTAGACTCCTGGGAATCGCTCAGGCCCATGTTGTACCCAATGGACAACTGCTCCACCACCTCTTGCAGGGGCAAGCTTTATGCCATCGGGTCGCTGGAAGGCAAAGAAACGATGGTCATGCAGTGCTATGACCCCGACAAAGACTTGTGGTCAATGGTGAACTGTGGCCGGCTGCCCCCCTGGTCGTTTGCACCAAAAACTGTGACACTGAATGGATTCATTTATTTTGTCAGGTGAGTCTTTGGAATATAATCAGTTTGAGGGGGAAGAACATCCCTTTGTTTTTAATTAAAGGGCGAAAGGAAATGCCTTTTCCAGTTTTGTTAGATGTTCCTCGTTAAATGATGGAAACCAAAGGTGACTGAGCTGTGCGCCAAAACTCCAAATGGGGTTCTAGATGGATTTGTGGTCTCCCAAGTTATAAAGTGTGGCATTTTGCTGGGAATGTTATAGCTTTATGGAACCCAAATTGTCCATGATCATGTGACTTGATGAGTATTTTAACATACCTCCATTATTTAAAAAAAAATTAAAAGTCAACAGCTACAAATATTGTTGCTGGTGACATTAAAAAAAAAAACCAGGTACTTAACCGTTTCAATACCGGGCAATTTTACACCTTCCTGCCCAGGACAGTTTTCAGGTTTCAGCGCTCTCACACTTTGAATGACAATTGCGCGGTCATACAACATTGTACCCAAACTAAAATTTGATCATTTTCTTCACACAACTAGAGCTTTCTTTTGGTGGTATTTAATCACCGCTGGGGTTTTTATTTTTTGCTAAATTAACAAAAAAATACCAAAAATTTTGAAAAAAAAAAAACACATTTTTCTTGGTTTCTGTTATAAAAGTTTACAAATAAATAATTGTTCTTCATAAATTTAGGCCGAGATGTATTCTGCTCCATGTCTTTGGGGAAAATAACCCAAATTAGGATGTATTTTTTAGTTTGTAGGAAAGTTATAGAGTTCACAAACTATGGTATAGATCTGAATATTGAACAATCCTGAAGTACTGACGGCCAATCTAATTTCTTGAGGTCCAAGAATGTCAGAATAGTACAGATATCCCCCAAATGTCAGGAAAGTACAGATATCCCCCAAATGTCAGGAGAGTACAGATATCCCCCAAATGTCAGGACAGGACAGATATCCCCCAAATGTCAGGACAGGACAGATATCCCCCAAATGTCAGGACAGTACAGATATCCCCCAAATGTCAGGACAGGACAGATATCCCCCAAATGTCAGGACAGGACAGATATCCCCCAAATGTCAGGACGGTACAGATATCCCCCAAATGTCAGGACAGTACAGATATCCCCCAAATGTCAGGACAGTACAGATATCCCCCAAATGTCAGAACAGTACAGATATCCCCCAAATGACCCCTTTTTGCAGAGTAGACAGTCCGACGTACTTCATAAGAGGCATGGTGAGTTTTTTGAAGTTGTATTTTTTTGTCATAATTTTTCCGAAAATGAAAAAAATTATTTTCACTATTTTGTTTTTTACATACTGTCACCAGTGCAGTACAGCGTCATCATATAACTGGCATGGCGGTGAACAGGGACACTGACTGGTGACAGTATGAAAAAAATATATATATTTTTTTTTTTAATTTTTTTTATTTTTTTATTATATTTAATTTTTTATTACATTTTTTTTTTTATTTTTTTTAAGATTTTTTTTCATATTTTACTACGACCAAAGTAGTACAATGTTACCATAGTAACACTGTACTACTTTGGGGAAGTGATCAGTATTTTTTTTTTTTTTTTTACACAATTTGCTTATAGCAAAGAATTACTTTGCTATAAGCAAGCATTTACCTGAATGAAATCGATTCATTCAGCTTTTTTTTTTTTTATCTTTTTTTGTGCTTAGCTGTGATTTGGTCACAGCTAATCACATGACATGTGCATGTGATTAGCTGTGACCATTCACAGCTAGGCACTAGTATACAATGGATGGCATCATGAATGAAGCCATCCATTGTATACAACTGTCATGTGACCTGCTGTGATTGGTCACAGCAGGTCACATGGTACCGGGCAACGGGAGTCGGTACTCGGATCTGTCATCGGCCGTGTCCGAGGTGCACGGGCGGTGACAGATCGCACTGCTGCGTCGCTCTGCAACCGCGCACGTGCGGGAGCACGCCAAATGGCGTGCACCCGGAAAGCTGCAGCGCTTTTCAAGCCGCCAAACGGCCATTGGCCGGGCGGCTAATGGTTAATAATCTATGGAGTCCAGCACTGTTTTCCCGTGGCTAATTCTTCTCTCTCCTGATGCCGCCATCTTGGATTTGGGATCTGGCTGTGAATAATGTAACTCCTGTGAGTTACATTAGTATTGGCCACCAAATGGCCAGAGATCAAACCTTGTTCTTGAAAGGAGCAGCAAAGAACATGGCAGCAGTGATGACAGGGAGCAAAGCAAGAGCTACGTTCAACACAATGTTCAAGAATGCTCCGTTTTGTTAGAGAAATCTGATGGCTTGGCCATTGTACTGAGAAGCTGGAGGGTTGCCGTATTCAAGGGGTAGACAAACTGGTGCAGAATTTACAATCTCTAGTCAAATCTAGGGGTCATTATACATCTTAAAGTGAACCTGTTCCACCAAAACATGTCCAACTAACACAGTGTTTCTCAACTCCAGTCCTCATGGACCCCCAACAGGTAATGTTTTCAGGATTTCCCTCAGATGAAACAGCTGTGGTAATTACTAAGGCAGTGAAACTGATCAAATCACCTGTGCAAAATAATGGAAATCCTGAAAACATGACCTGTTGGGGGTCCATGAGGACTGGAGTTGAGAAACACTGAACTAACACAAGGCCCGGAGTGGCATCTCCACAAGTTTTAGGTAAATCTTTTTTTCAGGAGGACCTAGAAGTTCTCAGCAGGCAATCCTCAACTTTAGTTCTAGCCCCCCACGGTGCTTTGTTGCCACTTCTCTATTGACCACCATTGATCAGAAGGTGCAATATGGGCTTGCAAATAAAACAGCCAAAAGTCTACGGAGGCATCATGTTGGAGAATTGTTCGTTAGGGTTGGTTTTTTGCAGGATCGGTTCCCTTTAGGAAGTCTAAGAACATTGCTGGCCATTGCCCAGGCTTTGCTGTGGGTTCCAACACTGGGAACATTGCTGTCTTCTTCATTCAGTAAAGGCTTTAGTGTTCTAATTACCAGTGGGCTCCATATTTCATCTCTTGACTTTCCTCTGGCTCCTGACACCCAGGTCTGCTTTCTATCATCTACATAAACACAAGACGAGTCTGCCGGTGTCCTCCCTGGTCACGGCCACTGTATTATTTTGTGCAGGAGGAGTCAAGTCATTGCCATGTAGATACAAAATTGACTTTGCAGTGCACCCCCTCCCCCCACCTTCCCATTGTAAGGGGTAAATGCTTGTTATGTCTAGGGGGTAGAAGGATAAGGTGCAATACGTATTCCCTCAGTTCCACTTTCAGTATTTCAGTATATCCATTATATAACTAGAGCTTGAATATGTTTTGGTAAATACCTGAGAAAACTAAAATTGTGCCTAACTAACCTAACTGTATGATAGAGGTGATAGAGACTGCAGACGTGGTACAAGAGATGGTCAGAGACTGCAGATGTGGTACAAGAGATGGTCAGAGACTGCAGATGTGGTACAAGAGATGGTCAGAGACTGTGGACATGATACAGGAGATGGTCAGAGACTGTGGACATGATACAGGAGATGGTCAGAGACTGCGGACACGATGCAGGAGATGGTCAGAGACTGCGGACACGAAGCAGGAGATGGTCAGAGACTGCGGACACGAAGCAGGAGATGGTCAGAGACTGCGGACACGAAGCAGGAGATGGTCAGAGACTGCGGACACGAAGCAGGAGATGGTCAGAGACTGCGGACACGAAGCAGGAGATGGTCAGAGACTGCGGACACGAAGCAGGAGATGGTCAGAGACTGCGGACACGATACAAGAGATGGTCAGAGACTGCGGACACGATACAAGAGATGGTCAGAGACTGCAAACATGATGCAGGATATGGTCAGAGACTGCGGACATGATGCAAGAGATGGTCAGAGACTGCGGACACGATGCAAGAGATGGTCAGAGACTGCGGACACGATGCAGGAGATGGTCAGAGACTGCGGACACGATGCAGGAGATGGTCAGAGACTGCGGACACGATGCAGGAGATGGTCAGAGACTGCGGACACGATACAGGAGATGGTAAGAGACTGCGGACACGATGCAGGAGAAGGTCAGAGACTGCGGACACGATGCAGGAGATGGTCAGAGACTGCGGACACGATGCAGGAGATGGTCAGACTGCGGACACGAAGCAGGAGATGGTCAGAGACTGCGGACACGATGCAGGAGACGGTCAGAGACTGCGGACACGATGCAGGAGACGGTCAGACTGCGGACACGATGCAGGAGATGGTCAGAGACTGCGGACACGATGCAGGATATGGTCAGAGACTGCGGACACGATGCAAGAGATGGTCAGAGACTGCGGACACGATGCAAGAGATGGTCAGAGACTGCGGACACGATGCAGGAGATGGTCAGAGACTGCGGACACGATACAGGAGATGGTCAGAGACTGCGGACACGATGCAGGAGAAGGTCAGAGACTGCGGACACGATGCAGGAGATGGTTAGACTGCGGACACGATGCAGGAGATGGTCAGACTGCGGACACGATGCAGGAGATGGTCAGACTGCGGACACGATGCAGGAGATGGTCAGACTGCGGAAACGATGCAGGAGATGGTCAGACTGCGGACACGATGCAGGAGACGGTCAGACTGCGGACACGATGCAGGAGACGGTCAGAGACTGCGGACACGATGCAGGAGACGGTCAGAGACTGCGGACACGATGCAGGAGACGGTCAGAGACTGCGGACACGATGCAGGAGACGGTCAGAGACTGCGGACACGATGCAGGAGACGGTCAGAGACTGCGGACACGATGCAGGAGACGGTCAGAGACTGCGGACACGATGCAGGAGACGGTCAGAGACTGCGGACACGATGCAGGAGACGGTCAGAGACTGCGGACACGATGCAGGAGACGGTCAGAGACTGCGGACACGATGCAGGAGACGGTCAGAGACTGCGGACACGATGCAGGAGACGGTCAGAGACTGCGGACACGATGCAGGAGACGGTCAGAGACTGCGGACACGATGCAGGAGACGGTCAGAGACTGCGGACACGATTCAG